TCTGGGGCAGCGGTGTGGGCGGGGCATTTGAACGGGGTGGCCGTGCCGCACCTGGGGCTTTGTGACTGGGGTCCTGTGCTGTCCCTCCCAGGACGTTTTTGTGAGACCGAGCAGGAAGAGGTTTCACGTGTGGCGTGTCCTCTGACCCCGTGACCGTGTTCACTGTGTTTCAGTCGCTCCCGGCTGCCATGGTGATGCCGCCTCAGCCCGTGGTCCTGATGCCCACCGTGTACCAGCAGGGCGTCGGCTATGTGCCTGTCACAGGTGGGTGCGCCCCTTCTCCCGGTGGCGTCAGAGCGGGGCGGGGGCGTGGCGACGGGGGGCACGCTGCAGGGGCCTGGCCTCGCGTTCCGGAGGGGCAGCGAGGGGCCTTCTGAGAGCGTGGGACGTGGGACGTGGAGTCGCCTTCCCTGAAGCACTGGCCCCGACCAGGGGAGGAGAAGTTCACGGCAGCGTAGAAACATAGTTTCTAAACATTCGGTGCATGAGTCACCGTGACGAAAGATGGTGTTTGATTGATGAGGTGAACTGTGTGCCCTGATAAGGCTTCTATAGTGTTTCTCTAACTTCATAAATTATTTACCTTTATAGAGTAGCAATTGGTGGCTATAGCAAAGCCAAGTTGCACTGTAGCTTTCATGTCTTTGAATTTTTAAATCTGAGTTTTAGCCTGTTGGTGACCGTTCTTTCCTGGCTGTGACAGTGTTTGGACTCAGCCAGTTTCCTGCTTTAAGCGGCCATAAAACTGGGCAGCAGCTGTTTTTAGGGTTGGGGGCATCATGGGTGTCGGGCTGCGGCTCAGCCGAAGCAGAGGCCTCGTCAGCGTCCCAGTCACTGCTGGGACCAGAGTCGGGACCGTGCCCTCGCAGGCCTGCGCTGACCCCTACCGCCACCCCGGCCTGCAGGGGACCCAGGCCTGCAAGGGAGGGGGGACGACAGAGCTGGGCTCCCCACACAGGCTCAGGGTGTTCTCCCTGGGACGAACTGGCCCCAGGACAGGGACTAGTGCTTTTGCGGGGGCGAGTGGACCC